CATTATAACAATGTCACCACGTCGTGACCTTAGAGAAATGAGAGTCATGTTCCTGATTTGTTATGTTACTACGTAGCCATTTCTGATTATTAAAATTAATTGAACGTATTTCATGTTTACACAAAGTAATATAATGATCGAGTGTATTATTACGACCAGATGGTGGTATCCAATAAGACACAGATGGCGGTGATCTAAATAAACAAGTGTTGTGACTTTTATTCATGACCCGACTTAGCTCCTTCACTATCGTGATCAACAGCAAGTCTCAGTCAGTGACGTATACTCACCAAATATTATTATTCCCCCCAGCAAAAGTGGCGGAACGGTGTTTGTTCTTCTCGGTAACATCGAACAGGGAAACTAACTCCACATTGGGAGAATCACCGTCCCTCAACACCGGTGGGAGAATTTAGTCTGCTGCCGGAGTTTTCAAGTTATCGACCAACGTCCACATAATCGCAGAGATAAACGATTCTGAAGGTTTTGTCTCAATCATCGATCTCGCTACATTGAGCAGAGATTTAGATTGTGACAATTCTCGATCAGAAGCGAGCCTCGTCACAATTACTAAGTGGGAGGGGGAGATTTTTCACTCATTGAATCAGACATTTCATCGCTAGCTGCGGCTAGGGATTTCCCCTTCTTATCACGACTCTTACCAGCTTTGTTTTCCCCTTTTCTTACCTAGACAGTCTTGGCTAGATAGTGTTAATGCTCAATGTCAAAAATCGATTTTAAAATATAGGAAACCGAGACACGCGTATGCTTTTTGACTGACACGTCACTGTTGATGGTATATGCAAATGAGTTGCTGGTCAAAGTTATGGTGCGGCGATATGTAACTTCCTATCTGTGACCTCTGGTACTAAGGCACTCCATGAATGAGGTATTTCCAGAGGTCGGGGTTCATTTAATTTTTACGGACTCGTCTCGTCTGTCTCGATTTACAATAGTTTGCCTTCCATGTCGAATTTTTCGAACCGGCGTTTGAGCGATTGAGTAATACAAACTGTGAATAGCCGTTGTGTAGCAAATTATTACGGCCCATTTCAATCTGGCCGCCTAACTTCGCACGATCCATTTCACCGGAGATCGTGAAAAACTGCGTCATACAGGGTATTTGTTTAAAGGGTTGAAGAAACGTTAATTTAGACTCAACCTAACCTGCATCTATACCTTTATCGCTTGCCTTGCAGCTTTCCACCTCGCCTCGCAATGCGACCTCGTTTTATGATCCCATTGATCACAGAGACTCTCTAGGCAATAACTCGAGACCCTGACGCAACCCAAACATGAATAGCAACACATGTGCGGATCCCAAACAGGCATTTGTGTATGGCATGTCTTAAATCTGTTGCGTTGGAACATTCTTCGTCTTTTTTTGATACTTATGCATTTTGCAGTCTGAATAACGAGAAAATTCGATTGCGTGAATACCCTGAGGGTGACCCCTTTGGAGAGGCCTTTTTTCTATAGGGAATGCTACCCTAGGATGGTCTTTGTGGGCCCTAATAGTTTCCGTTCGGGGCTGTAATCTGTAATTAAGCCTAACAAGTAATAAATGAAATTTACTAGATATGATTAGGTGAACAAATGGGTTTGTATCACCAAATAATGTTTGGAAACATATACGTACGAATAAAAAGTCTTCACATGAATACATATCTTACTTGTAACAAGTTGCTGGGTGCCTAGCTTTGATGTTGTAAATGGAGGTTTTATCACAATGGATGGTACGATCCTCTTTGTTACATTGTCAATGTCTGACACTGATGGTCTAGGTAGGCGTGTCACAACGATAGAAGAAATATTTTTTCTCAGATGTATGTGTCATCGGTGCTGCAGTAGTGATTGCATCTGTAAAGACACAGAAATAGTACTAGTATATTATACAATTGCACATCATTATACAACAGTTTTTAATAATGCATAGCTTGTTAAATAACATTAGTATGTGCTAACATTTAGGAAACTTCGTCAAATTGAGGTTTAAATAAATTATGTGAAAGTATAATTGCATAGTACTTATTCACATTTGGCAACTTGAGCTGTCCAAGGGTATATTTTTAATATACGGTAGCAGATAAACATGTGTTTACATAGAACTGGCCAAGATCATTGGGCCAGATTAGCGTCATCGTATTTTTTTCTTAGCGATTTAACTACACTGTGTAGTGTACTCGGCAGTTTTGTTTTGACGATTGTTGTGTTCTTGGAATTTGTAAAAAAATATATTCACGTGTTATTCACGTATATATTTGTTCACAATTTTATAAACTGGCTTGGCGATTTCCACCACCAATTAGATTGGTCACAGCATTTTTGTTGTAAGTATACTTGGTGTTTTTAATTGGATATTTTTGTTTTGATTTCATATTTTTTTGTTCAATTGTTCATTTGCGAAATATGGATGGTATTCTGTATGTATTGTCTACTATTGTCATTACCAATGATTGCCACTTCGGTATTTTTTGTAATCTGTTTTTGAATATTTCATCTGCTACACTTGTTGGTGTGTTTGGGTCATTGTATTGCAGATTGTCTGCATATCTATTGTAATTATGGCCTATTGTTCTTTTGTTATCTCTATTCCTGGACCACATAATTCCTGAAAATTTTAATTGAATACAACATTGTTTTAATTCATAACTTGTTTATTGAAACTCATCAAAGTACATAAGTGTTAACAACAATAATTGAGTTAGGCCAGACTTTTATTATCCCTTGTTTCGCAAAAAATTGCTAAAAAAAAAACTTATTTTTATCTTCATTTTTTTCCGTCCGCCGCATAACAAACCCAAGTTGCATTTTCGTGGGAGTATCATATTCAAAGTCTTGTGCAGATGAGAAACAAGGTTATACATGGAATAAAATTTTATTTCATTTCCTCTCTCCGATCAATGATCTCACTTTCACTTCTTTGAAAATCACGCGAATCTAATGGAAAGAAAGAATTAATTTTATTTATTTTTTCGCCCTCCTCAACAAAAATGCCTTATAAAAACTCGAGAAACAAGGAATAAAAAAAAGTCTGGCCTTAATATAATGAACTGCTGCTCATAACAATTTGAAATCAATACTATGAGTAAGTATTGTTTTTAAAATGTAATATAATTCTCCATTCTATTATTTGTTTTGTTTATTGGTCGTCAGATTTACTCAGTGTATCCAAACTTAATTAGAGTTAGTGTCTGAGTAATTATTTATTTGTTTGTTTGTTGATGTATATATCAGTTTGCTACTTCCCATTGTCATGTATTATATTGCTATCATATCTAATGATCATAATTTACTCATACAATGAATATACAAACAATGGGAGTCGATGTTGTTACACTTCTGTCATAATTGAAGGGTTAACAGGGTGAAAATGAATGTCAAACAAAATGGAAATGAATTTTAAAAAAAGACATATAAAAATGAATATTAACTAAAATAAATTTGAACATAAAAATGAATTTGAAAAATAGAATGAATTTAAAACGAAATCGAAACCATAGTTGGCTGATTATGGCGACCAAGACAAATCTAAACCAATGTTTCACAGTTAAAGGGCGGTGATTGTCGTGTTGTTTGTACAGTACAAAGTACATTGTTTGTTTACATGAAATTCCATCATGTGCGCAAGCTGGTTACCACTTAACCATAATAAATCATTATCAACAATGAAAATACATGGCTCACATAATACCTTTTTCTTATCGAT